GCCCAACATCCTTCCCATCTTCTCATAAAACGCCCCAACACAAGCCACTGCCGCCCTGTAAAATGGTCTCAGTGGTTAGTAAGACAATTTCTGGGCTGGCAAAAGGGTTCAGTGAGTAGAGGCTATCAAGACTGTTGTTCTGAGTCCCATTTCCAGGACCTACAGGGTAAAGAGCACTAACTCCCACAAGTCCTCTGATCGCCACACATACAATGTAGTGTGCATGTATACACACGCACACACACAAACACACAAATATACAAAAGGTTTAAAGAAAATTCATTATACGTTTCTGATTTTCAAAAATTAATTTGTATTTATGTAACCATTTTAGGCTCAACTTAATCTACTCATCAGTAAACTTGTAAGCAAAATGGTCTCTGCTTCAGCGTTGCCTCTCTAGTGCAAAAGCAGTTCAATGAGCAGGAAGGTCTGGATTCCACAAGCATTTCATTTCTTTAACTGGATGTACTGGGTCAGCAGACTGGTCTCACCCATCCCTGCCTCAGATCTAGTTAGAACTTCCTGTCAGTACCATGCCTCAGGTTTCACCCACTGGGGTCGTCCCGAAATCACCTAGAAAAAGCGAAAGAGCACGCTGGGATTTCTGTAAGTGTACTTACAGCTTTGTTGGTAAGTAGGCTGCGGTGTCATCCTTACTTCTGATAATGTCGTTACACTTGTCTAGTGTTTGAAAAACTGTGTAAGTGTCCCCAATGCTATAAAGGGCTGCAAGGTTCTTAGCTAACAATTTCCGAGTAGGTGGTCCAGGTGAGCTGCTTATTAATCCAGTTAACTGTTCAACAAGTTTCTTCTGTTTTTCTTTTACGTCTGTCTGTTATTTAAAAAAGAACATCACATTTCCTTGTACCCTTCCACTTTGTAGTAAAAAATACTTAACATGTATGATGCTCTAATAATTAAAATCTGTATTCACTAAGCGCAACTCACACATGAAAACTTTTATAAAAATGAAAACTTCAGTAAGAAATGATCCGTTCTTTCCTAGATTAAATCACTAGTCCCCTTTATTGTCCAAAGTTTCATTTCAACAAAAGTGATTACTGTGTGAGCCAGTTCCAGATCAACTTAGGAAGTTAGACCATATACTAAATGTATAGATGACTGATATCAAAGGTTTTCCCCTGAAAGTGCAGATACAGTTGTCCAAAAAGTTAGGGGCTAGTAAAGGAAACCAAAAGAAATTTAGAGGCGATCTAAGCAACAGAACATAATTCCCAGATCCACACATAATCACTATCTAGTCAGTATCTAGAATTCACTCATTCATTTAATGCAATGCAGTTACTACAAGCCACGTACTACTCAACAAAGCCTAGTTCTCATGAAACTTACATTCTGGAGGGAGGAATAGAATATAAAATACATGAATGGTATGAGTGCTTACTATTTTATATAAATTAATTAGAAAAACATCTCTCTCTAATGTGAAGTGGTGAGCTATGCAGCTATCCAGGAGAACATCCCAGGGAGTGGGAACAAGACGCACAACGTTTGCAAATGAAGTGTGCTTAGCACACCTGATGGCAAGGTCAGGATAGCTGGGATGAAGTAGGAAAAAACAATCAAAGATGAAGAACCCAGATTATTACACTGAAGAACATTCAGTTTGTTCTGAGTGAGCGCTGTAAACAGAGGAGGGTTGTAATCTAAGTATTTCACCCAGTTAATTCTGACTGCTGAAACTGTGGTTGCTGAACATACATGGCAGAAGCAGGGTGGGCAATTAGAAAGCTACTGCAACAGCCCAGAAGAGAGACACTGGAGAAGTGTCCGCATGATAGGAGGTTTAAGAAAGAAGTAAAGATCGATTTTAAGGATTTGGGAAAGGATAAGTTTGAAAAAGAAAACCACTACTTTGGTTAAGATGTATTCGTGTTAACTATGAGGTGTGTGTGTGTGTGTGTGTGTGTGTGTGTGTAGAAAGAGGGGAGGAGAAAGGACAGAAGAGGGAATCCCATGCTGCCCTTGAATTTACTGTGCAGCTGAGGATGACTGTGAACTTTTGATCTTCCTGCTTCCATTTTGTTTTATGTGTACTGGGAATTAAATCCAGGACTTTTTGCATGTTAGAGGCGAGTACTCTGCCAACTGAGCTACATAGGAGCCCATGAGATTATCTTCTGAAAGTTGGACATCTGAAACAGGGGTAAAAATCATAAGATTAGCTATCACTAAAGAGTAACACTGACACCTTTCACAACAAAACAACGTGAGTATTAAGTATTTAATGCAGAGGATCAGCTATGTGAAAAGATGGGAAGGGACCAAATAAAACAAGTCCCGACTATTGTTTTGAATAATTTGAGTTATGTGATAACTTGGAAAAGACTTTTCAGTGGAAGGAAAACAACAAAGGTTCAGTTAGAGAAGATTCAAGAGATAAGTGAAATTTCCAGTTAAAGGTTACAAGGGAATCCATGCATTTACTGTCTTTCTAGCAATTAAAGTGATTGTCCCAGGCAGGAACAATAGTATCCGAGCACAAGTTCAACATGACAATAGGAAAAGAAGCCAAACAAAATCTGAAAGCCAAGGACTCGCAACAGAGAAAACCAAGAAGAAATCAAGACACAAAGTACTCCAGTAGCTCATGTTTTTAAGGCCTGGGAGCCTTTTGAGGTTAGACGAAATCTTCACCTGGAAATAAAAGCAATGACTGGTTGATAGTCTAAAAGGGCGGACTGGAGAGCGCACATCACGTCCAGCACTTCATCACTTAGGCAGCTAATGCAGGAAGACAGCTGCTTGTTTGCAGCCAGTCTGGGAAATACAATGAGTCCCAGGCCAGTCATGAATAACTAATAAAAGCATGTCACACCAAGTAAAATCAAAGCCCCTCCCCCCAAAAAATAACCCACAAAATCTTCTACACTCTCTCCTCATTTTAGAAGAAGGCTAGAGGCTTGTTTTCTAAAAAAAAAAAAAAAGAGTAAGACAGGACAGCTTTGGACAAGGAGGGATCAGGCACAACTGTGGACTGAGGTCACTGTACTAAAACAGGAACTAAGTGAATATTTGCATATTGAGTGTTGAAGCATTCAGGCTCCCCATCCCAGTACCTCAATCCTAAACAATTAACCACATCTCCTTCAGACACTAGAGTAGAAAAGTATCTTCTAGGGAACAATCAGTCAAGAGGTACAAACTAAGACAGCAAGGTCAGGACTAGCCTATCTGACATTCCGCTAACAAAATTCACCTTTCCCAGAACACCTTCTATGACTCACTTTTAAATCTGAACAAAGCTCTCATTTGAGGAATGCATTTAATGTCTAAAAAAAATAAACAAAACATGGACAAAACAACCTTGCATCAAAAAGTCTGTGTAGGAAGTAGAAGAAACAGTAAAAGGCTCTTAAGTCCCCAGAGACCAGAGAGAACATGCAGACACCGGGATCACAGGCATCACAGAGACCACTTCTGGGCACTGATGACAATGAGTGACACCAGTCACAGAGTCGTCTTCTCCCAGTCACACTAAGCTGAGATACAAAGGTCGCAACAAGCAGGATTTGGTCAGGGTTTGGGTTTTGATCAAGAGAAAGATAAACTAGAAATTCCTGACATGAGTGACTCATAACATTTTCAAAACACGATGTTTAAATTTTCCTTTATATTAATCTCATGGGGGTGGGGGAGCAATACCTACCTTGTTGGCAGCAACCAGGACTTTGTCAAGAAATCTTAACCATTCAAAGATAAACACTGGTCTCTTTGCTTCGGTGATTTGAGCCAGTGCTTCTTCATTTAGCAATAAGCTGTGAGCTAACTCCATTATTGATGTTCTTAATTTACACCTTAAACGAACAGATTAGATAAGATAAAAAAAGAAATGCATGTAAGGAATTTTTATTTATGTATAGGATTGTTTTGCCTACATAAATGTATGTGCACCACGTGAGCCTGCTGCCCACAGGGTTCAATCAAAGTAGGGTGTTAGCTCCCTGGAACTGGAGTTAGAGATGGATTTGAGGCACCATGTGGGCCCTGGTCCTTTTCAAAAGCACCAAGTGTTCTTAACCACTGAGCCATCTCTCCAGTCCCCACATGTAAGGATTTTTAAATATTAAATGTCAAGTCTCATAAATGCAACCACTAAGATAGAGAAAGAAAGTACGGTTTCACTTCTCATTCTTTCTTATTTATTCAATATAACTTCTTTGACACACAGCCTGAGAGAACCAAATTTTGAGAAGACAACGGAAGACACAAAATTAAACTGGAGGTAAGAATGGAGTGCAAGGAAAATGTAAATACTGCAAAATGGCATTATTACCGGTAATTCATTCTACCATGAGAACCCCTTAAGCAACAAGCTCACACCTCTTGGCGAGCTTTCTCCGTCCCTGGCTGAGTGTACAGGCACCTTTACCGGTGCCTGGCTACCAGGGCCCAGGATAATGACCCCAGGCATCCGACAGGCGAGGGGCGGGGCTCCGCAGTAGTAGCGCCCGAGACAACCCCTCGGCCCGAAGATGCAGACCCCGACTGCTCGGTGTCTCGGTGCACACCGCTGCTCCGAGCGAGGATCGCGACAGCTTGGAACCTGGGGAAAACGCGAGTCGGGGTCGAGGGGCCGCCCCAGGTTGTCAGCTTCCCGTCGCGGGGGTCCCCGAGCTGTCAACCCCACGAAGCTGAGGCTCCCGGGCCTCAAAAACTTCAACTCCCTCCTCAGCCCTCTGCAAACCTCCCGCGACACAGGGATCGCGGTGCACGTCTACAGGCAGACTGACAGCGCGCCGGGCCGCCTCACCTCCTAGTCTAGCAAGAGCGGAGCAGCAGAGCTCCGCCGGCAGAAGTCACGGCGGACAGACCCGGATGCCCCGCCTCCCAAACTTCAGCCAGCAGGAAGAGGGAGGAGTACGCAGGCGCAGAACGCTGGTTACGAGCACGCGCACTCCTCACGCTCTCTTAACCCCGCCCACCCGCAAGTTTCCGAACGAATCCGCGGTCAGAAACAAGTGGGATGGAACTCTTCGGGGCCCGCACGAAATTGGACGGCGCATGCGCAGCGCACAGTGGGTTGAGGAGGTAAAACTGCGTATTTAGGGTCTGCGGACGCTCAGGAAAATGATTGAGGTCGGTGCTAGTTGGCTGTGACTGCCCATCACGACATCAGCGCCCCATCCGTGAGTGGTCGTTTTGGTGAGTCGCGGGAGGGATGGACCAGCGATGCTCGAGACACCCACAGGAAAGAAGTAGCCCACCTCCGTGTATTCAGTAGCCCTTGTTTCAAACTGCTGTACTCTTTGCCCAATAAAGAATGAACCTGCACCTATAATCTTCCTGTTGAGAAAACGGTTACCCATTCTTTAGGTGCATAAGTAAAGAGCTTCACATTATCTTGTCCTGGTTCTTTCACACACAGCCACCTCCAACCCATCAGCAAATGCTGTATGATCTCCCCTTAGGTAGACCACCTCGCTGCTGTGACTCTTAAGGGATGGTCCACGCCACCAGCATCGTAGCCTGCGTTTTCTCTCCATCGCCCTGTGGAGTTTATGCTTATGTTTGATGGGAGTGGATAACGCTAGTGTATATTGTCCTCGTAGCAAGAGAGCTTTCACACTTGAGGACCTAAATTCCTTATTTCACTCCTTAAAAGTAATTTAACTTCCTCACCAATAGTAACTAGCTTCCTCAAAATGTGTCTATCAGTGACATTGCAATACCTGGGTGTAAGTAAGTGTGATGAGGTAGGAAGATTGTAACTATAAAGTTGTAATAACTAAAAGGGAGAGCTTAAAAATAACCTGTAATACCTTGTACTTTGTGGGGGGGGCTGTTTCATGTTTGAGACAGGGTCTCACTGTGCAGGTCTTGCTACCGTCAACTCCATTACACCATTGGGCCACCATGTCTGACTGTGGAAACGTTCCCCTTAAAAATAATTCAGTTTGGGCTAGAGATTTAGCTCAATGGTAGAATGCTGTCCTTACATCTGTGAGGCCCAGGGTTCGATGCCCAGATCAGCGATGACAATTATAGCCTCGTTCTGTTTCAGGAGCAAAATCACCGAGACCTGTATTCTCTGTGGCTGCGAACAAATCATTTAGCCGGATTGAGCCTTAATTCTTCTAGCTGGACTGTGGAGCTGACTGTTCATATCTGTTGAGCTGTTGATGAGCTAGGTGAGTACTAACTGTTATACATACCTGTATCCAGCCTGACTCACCTCAGGCTGGACTACCTCCCAGGTGGCTCACTGATTTGGCTCACGCATTTGTGCCTCAGATCCTTCCACTTGGGTGTCTCCAAAGAGCTTCCTGAGTGCTCTCCTGTGTGGCCACAGACTTGATTCATTTAATCCATGTTACCAACTTTACAGCGTGAAGTGTGCAGTGTGACCCAAAAGTCACTCTCAGACTCAAAATCCCATTGGTTACACTAATGGCTCAATGTGGAGAGTGCACAGAGTTATCAAAAAACCTAGAGGCAAGATTTTAATAGGAACCAACCATCTTGGAGAATACCACGTGATTGATTATATGAGTGCCTATCTGGAGAATCACAGGTTCCGAGGCCAGCTTGGACTACATCGTGTGAGCTTCAAGCCAGTCTGAGATACAGGATAGGGTGGTCCGATCTCAGGAAAGAAGCAAAAAACAAAGCAAGAGAGTTTACTTCTGTGGTGTTTTGAATCGGTATGGTATCAATAGACTCATATATTTTAATACTTGGTCCCCATTTGGAGGACTTGTTTTGGAGGGATTAGAAGGTGTGGCCTTGCTGGAGGAGGTGAGTCACTCCAGGGGCTCTGAGGATTCAAAAGCCCACACCATTTCCAGTTAGCTATTGTTGGCTTGGCTGCTTCTCTGTTGCTAGGATGTAGAGTGCTGAAATTCTCTATCTTTGTGCACAAGGGAGCATCATGTAGCATTGCCTCTCTCCATGGTTGATTTCCATTTTGGAAAACTAAAATGATAATGATAATACTATTACTTTGTCCTATCTGATTTGTAGGCAGTGTGGTCATATGAAGTTGAACATGGCAGAAGAAGAGGATTACATGTCAGATTCCTTCATTAATGTTCAGTAAGTAAATGTGTATGCCTAATATGATGATATGCAGAAGGCATCTATAGACTAAAAAATAAGTACATTGGTTGGGTGGTAGTACCGTAATCATGTGTGTTGTTTTGAGACGGGGTCTGTCTCATGTAGCTTTGGCTGCTCTCTAGCTCACTATGTAGCTGATTCCCCTGCCTCTGTTTCCTAAGAGCTGAGATTATAGGTATGTACAGAAGCCATGACTAGTTGTTGCAGCGCTGGGGATCCTACTCAGGTTCCAGGCATGCTAGGCAAGAGCTCTGTCACTACCTGAGCTGCTTTCCCCTACCACAGACCAGGGCCTTTTCTAATATGTATTTCTATTTTGAAGGCAGAGACAGGCAGATTGCTGAGTTTGAGGCCAGCCTGGTCTACAGAGAGTACCAGGCTGGCCAGGACTACACAGAGAAACCCTGTTTGGCTCTTCCCTCCCCCCAGGAAAAATCAGTCTTCCTGTTTCATGGATAACATCCTATGTGTCCTTACAAAGTTAATCGTTTTTTCATCTCTTCTGGTGCTAACCATTTTACTTCTGCTCTTAACCCTCTTTGGGTGCCCTCTGTGTCTTCTGTCAGTGTCAAGAGAGAAAACTTCCTGCCCTCGCCTACCCTGTCGCCTTTCTTTTTCAGAGAGGACATCAGACCAGGTGTGCCAATGCTGAGGCAGATCCGAGAGGCCCGTCGAAAAGAAGAGAAGCAGCAGGAAGCTAATCTGAAAAACAGGCAGAAGAGTGTGAAAGAGGAAGAGCGGGAAAGACGTGACACCGGGTTGAAGAATGCGCTGGGCTGTGAAAACAAGGGGTTCGCTTTGCTCCAAAAGATGGGATACAAGAGTGGCCAGGCTCTGGGCAAGAGCGGTGAGTTGTGCGAGGAAGTGGCTCTGTGTTCTTTCACTCAGCTGCAGTGTGCTGATGGAGACCTAAGCTGACAGTGCTTTTATCTACCAAAAAGTAAAACAACTTAAGCTTCTTACCATCTTTGGTGCTAGCAGTCCTTACAGAGTTGTCTGCTCACATCCCTCTTAAACGCCACACATGCCAACACGAGCCGCTTACCATCCCACCACCTCCTCGAAGGCGCTGGCAGGCAGCTGACGAGGGGAGCAGTGAAGAATGGGTGCAGGCGATGGGCAGAGAAACACAATGACCACACTGCAATGAAGCAACTTTGGGGACCATCATGGGGCTCTTCTTGGCTTGCTCTGTGCCCACAGCAGCCATCCGACTGACCTTCCAGTTGGAGAAGCTGTGTTCCCCTTTAGGAAATCACACTGCTTATGAAGATGTAGTGGCTGTAAATTGTGGTTTCAGTTTGTTTTTTTTTTCCTCTAATCACTTTGATTTTTCATATAGGAAGACTGTTTCCTCCTGAGATTGTTGCCCACTAAGACTGTTGTGTCCCTAATATCACTTCCTAAAATGGCATATGTGCACAGGAGAGGCAGAGGCAAATGGATCTCTGTGAGTTCAGGGCCAACCTGTCTATATAGTGAGTTCCAGGATAGCTACAGCTATGCACTGAGACCTGGTCACAAAAATAGATAGATGCTAGATAGAGAGGTAGATAGGAGGTATTGAGGTAATAGCTGAAAAAGAGAGCATTAGTTTGCAGAATTCAATTTGCATTGTCATTGAGACTGGGAGGGGATATACAGAGAACATTGTAATGTTACATACTGCGCTGAGTGACCTGAACTTGGTGGTAAGTAAAATATTTCTAATCTGTGTTTCTTTTTTCTTTTTTTAGGGGATGGCATTGTTGAACCAATTCCTATCAATGTCAAAACAGGTATATATAATCCTTTTATTAGTATATTAAATAACAATAACTTAGATTGGTTTGCTTACTATGTTTTGTGATGGTGTCCTTGTATTTGACTGTCATAAAAAGCCTATGGAATAGTAAAATATTAAACTTTTAAATATTTTTAAAGTTGTTTTTATAGGAAAAAAATTTTAAAGTATGTTTTGTTAAAATAGGAGTGATAGAATATAAAATTTAGCCAGCCTGGTCTATAAGAGCTAGTCCCAGAACAGGCTCCAAAGCTACAGAAAAACCCTGTAAAACCCTCCAAAAAAATAAAAAATTATATATATATTATGGGGAGCCAGGAGTAGTCATTTGTAGTTATACATCTATAATCTCAGAATTTAGGAGGAAGATGGAGATGTGCAGGCTAGCCTGAGCTATATAGTGAGGCCTGCCAAAGAGTTAAGGATGAAGCCCACTGATAGACCGTCTGCCCATCCAGTTCATGGCCCTGCTTCTGATCCCAGCACCACAAACCGGGGGGGCATTTTACAACTGCAGAGTGCAGAGCACCTTTCTTGTCTTCTGTAATGTGCTAAAAAAATGTTCATTTATCAATGGCATTTCTTAATGTCATTCCTTGGATTAACTCAAGAGAAAACAAGCATACATTTATGAAAGTATGATAGTTGATACTATTTTCCTAATTTTTATTTTACTTATTTATTATTTGCTTATTTGTTTTGTTTTGTTTTGTTTTTGAGACAAGGTTTCTCTGTAGCCCTGGCTGTCTGGAACCCACTCTGTAGACCAGACTGACCTTAAACCCAGAGATCTGCCTGCCTCTACCTCCCAAGTACTGAGATTGAAGGCATGTGCCACCACTGCTCAGCTCCTAATTTTTAAAAATACGTGCATCATTACTGTTTTGGATGAGACTCTGTGTTTTCTGTTGCCGTTTTAATGAAGTAAGTTTGGATAACTTACTCACATTCAAGTGAGAACTACATTTAATTTCTCCAGTATTTAAATTGTCGTGTTTTGAAGTTTAAATAAAAATGAGTAAGTTCCTAAATTCCTCATCAGAGTTTTTGTCTGAGACCAGGAAAGAGTGGCATAGGTCATGAGTCGTTACTAAAACGGAAAGCAGAGGAAAGGCTAGAAAACTACAGGAGAAAAATCCACATGACAACCCAAAATGAAGAAAAGGCTGCTGAGCAGTTCCGGTAAAACGTTTTCTTTGGACTGGTTGAGATCCCTTTATTATTCTTGGTGTCCTTGGTGCCTGGGTATATAAAGCAGATAGAGAATAGGGACCTTACTATACAACCCTTCTTTACTTAGGATGCGACTGAAAAGCAAGCAGGATGAGCTGAGGCTCGAAGGCGACCTGAGAAGGAGCCAGCGAGCTTGCCAGCAGCTGGACGCCCAGAAGGTAGGTGGGTAGCTCCTTCCAGTTTCCTAGTGTTTTGGTACCTGGATGATTTGGTTTATGTTTATATTTTTGTGATTTGGTTTTTTGAGATGGGGGGGGGACTCCGTGCCTTGTTTATTAAACCTTTCCCTTAAAACTTGTGTTTGATGTGTACCACCTGTTGTGGTGACCGACACACTAATGGCTGACTTACTCCAGGGACCTGTCTCCTGAGGTGTCTGCTAATTGTCATTACTCAGAACTGGAATGTATAGAAATTCTGTTCGCCGTGTTTGACTAACCAGGATAACCTAAGTTTAGTCCACACTTATCCCTTTGTGTATCTCTTGGGAATTTAAGGTGGAATCCTTAGTCCACACTTATCACTCTGTGTGTCTGTTAGGAATTTAAAGTAGAATGCTTAGGCCACACCAATTTGTGTGTCTGTTGGGAATTTAAGGTGGAATGCTTAAGTCACACTGTCACTTTGTGTGTCTGTTGAGAATTTAAGGTGGAATGCTTAGGCCACACTTATTACTTGTGTCTGTTGGGAATTTAAGGTTTGGAATGCTTTCATTTCAAGTAGGAGTCTTTTAAAATCGTTTTAAGGAAATCTTTGCCTTTCACAAAACACAGTGAGTGGTATCAAAAGAAAATGACTTCACTTAAACATTGATATGGTTTCTATCATATATAAGTAGCTGGGAGGAATGTCCTACTACACTGTATTTCCATGAGATATTATCTTGTACGTACTTGCTGGCACGTAATGACTTCCTAGCTTATATGTACAGCTTTCTACCCATCACTCATCTTTCCTGCTTGACTGACAAAATTCGAATTGCCCTTTCAGTCATCACAGTTCATGGACCAGGTCTTTACTGGGAAATTGCACTCAGTGAATATTAATTGGAAGAACAGATTCATGTTAACACAAACATACTTAAGACAATACAAGTATACTTAGCTGCATTTTACAAGAATTATTTTGCATTTCCAGAATATTCAGGTTCCCAGGGAGGCATGGTACTGGATAAGGCCTGAAGAGGAGACTGAGGAAGAGGAAGAGGAGGAGCAGGATGAAGACGAATACACGAGCGAGGATTTGAGTGTATGTCTAGGCGCCATTGTCTCCTCATAGCAGGAATCTTGGCCTTGGCACTGTTACCACTCTTTGCTGTGGGCAGCATGACAGGGTGTGTAGCAGTAACACTTGGCTTGGTGCAAGGATGGACACACATACAGGAAAACTAGGATCGGGTTGGGTGTGCTCACTCTGATGGGGAGTACCTACTACCCCAGCAGTCTTGAATGACAGTGTGTTCATTAGGAATAGCACCAGGGGAGGAGCTAGCTGGTCTTGATGGGAAGTCTCTCTAGGCAAGCAGTCTCGGGCGGTGACATACCAGAGGAGGAAGCTGTAGTTGCCAGGTGAAACTGGCATCTGGAGGATGGAGACCAGCTATGCTGCTATGTAGGCAACAGGGAAGCCTTGATTGGATGTGTATTGCACGTATTAGCATGCCATGTCGAGTCTCCGGTGCCTCAGCCCCGCAGGAGTGGCAGAGAGGAGCAACTAAGCGTTCCTCAGGAGTCCGAGAATGAGTGATTGTAAATGATTGATCAGGGTGTGCAAACTGGCAACCGCAGCTTGACAACCGCAGTGTTCCCAAGCGTTGCTATGTAACCCCC